CGTGGCGCGACGGAGCGCGGTTCCGAAGTTCTCTTATAGATGCAGCCGATGGTTTTCCGCTTCTCAAAATGTCCAAAAAATGCGTCTGCGATGTAGTCATGTGGCTGCTGCTGTTGTTGCTGCTGCTGAGCTTCTTGGGAGGCGGCTTGTCGCGGCTGACGCTGCGCCAGGTTGGGGGCTAAGCCGAGAGCTTGCGGAGGAGTTTTATTGGGTGATGGTCAGGCGTAATGATATTACGGCGCGGATACTTGTTCTGAAATTGATTACTGAGAACCGGGCATCCTTCCCACACCCTTTTAAGTGTTGTTACCACATGTTCAAAATTGAAACGTATGAGATTTTGCACGTCTTGTGCATGTGGAGCTGTCAACACGATTACGACCTGCCACGGATAGGTATGTTGTCTTTTGTGATCACGCTCTATTAAGCATCGCAACAGACCGGACTCCCATGCAGTGGGCCCAGGTTCGAATCCCGGTTGCGCCATGAACCCTGGGCGTTAATATAGCCCATGCAGTCGCTGGTGCTTCAAAACGGGGGCCTGACTACATGCATCGCATTATCTTTTACCAAATATAAATGTAAAACAGGTCTCATGTAGCACCATCCGCGCCCAGGTGACGTTTCGTCTGGACTTCCTGGACGGCTCGCCGGTGGACCCGGCCGACCTGCGAGTGGACGTGCTGGGCCCCGGGTCGCGGTCGGGCCGCGTCCAGATGCGGCCCGACGACAGCGGTATCACCTGCACCTTCACACCCGACGAAATGGGCATGCATCAGGTGAGCTGCGCTGCATGGCGGCCGGTGCCAGCCCGGCCCCACGACAGCCGCATCACCTGCACCTTAACGCCCGACCACATGGGTCTGCATCAGGTGAATGACCCCCATGGCGGCCGGTGCCAGCCCGGCCCCACCACAGCGACATCACCCACCTTCACACCCACACCAACGACATGGAGATGCACCAGGTGAGCTGCCCCCCATGGCGGCCGGCGCCGGCCCGGCCCCACGCCCAAACAGCGACGGCGCTGCAAGTATGGTGCAGCTTGAGGCTCCACCATCATCAGGCATAAGCGATTTGTCTATTGCGTGGGACGTTGCATTTGTCGGCAATAATCACATGCTGGAAAGCAAATAGTCTGGCCCGAAGTGGCCAGTTTGTTGACAGTAAACAAATTGACTATTAAATCTTAAGTAACTCATAAAGCTCCAATCCGCCATCATACGCCAACTTATCGACCTGCTTTTTAGTGTTAAGGCAGCGTAACGTGGCTGGGGGGTGTCACGTGACCAGGAATACCAACAGCCACTGCCGGCTGGTGACCGGTTGGATGTGACGCAATGTGTAGCATGACACAATGGCTGGATGGTTTCTATCTAAACAGTTTTTGATGCAGTCAGTACTTGTTTACGAAAGCAAATGGAGTGCATGTCCAGGATACGCTGTTTAACTACTCTTGATCTCTATGATTCACTTGCAGGGAACCTTAATTTGCTTGCTACCATCAAATGATGATAAGCGTTTCACCTTCAGGAGCTGGTGCGCTGTAAAAGAAGCGTGACGGAGCCAAAACAAACGTCATGCTAAAAAACGTGACCGCTAGCGCATGCTAAGCTATGCCCCCTGACCACGTATGACTCTGGTCGTGCTCCTGGCAGGTGAGTGTCTACCACAAGAGGGAGCTGGTGGAGGGGTGTCCGTTCAGCGTGTAACCCTGTCCATGCTCCCGGCAGGTGCCCGGTCTACCATAAGAAAGGCTTGGTGAATGGGTGTCCGTTCAACGTGTAACCCTGTCCTTGCTTCCAGCAGGTACGCATCTACCACGAGAAAGACCTGGTAGATGGGCGTCCGTTCAGTGTGTTACTCTGGCTTTGCTCCCGGCAGGTGCGCGTCTACCACGAGAAGGACCTGGTGGATGGGTGCCCGTTCAGCGTGAGGGCCGTGCCGCTCATCAAGCTGACGCCTCGGCCGTCCGGGATCGACCCCTGCGCGCTCGGTTCCACCGTCGAAGTGCTGGTGAGTCGGCCAGCAGGGGGCAGCTGGTGTGCACACGGGCCATGAGGTGGCAGGTGCGGACAGGAGAGGCTGGCGTTGATATTTGCCGTGGCACGTGAATCGTCTTCATAGAACACTCGCTTGAACATAAAGTGAGCCCAAAGCAGTGCATAGTAAGACGAAAAGGGAAACAACGTGCGAAGCTATTCGCCTAGTGTACCCTCGGAGCCAACTTAACCTTCGTTGCATTTGTCCCAAGCCCCAAGCTATCAATGCCAACCGACCTTTGCATCAAGGACACCTGTTGCTTTCCTCCTTCATGTTATAATTAAGCACGCTCCTCCCAGCTGCCTCGCACCCCCCCCCCCCTCTCCCTTGTCGTGAGCTGGGCGTGCGGTGGTAGAGGGCCAACGCTTGTCCGCCGTGATACACCCGGGCCTCTGCCCCTTGCATACCCCGCCCCCCCCCCCCCGCTGTGAACCCACCGTATTCATGCGCCCCGTCCCCTTCCGTGACACCCCCACACCCCACTATCATGACACACGAGTCCTCCATTGCCACGGCACGCCCGCACCCCGCCCTGATTGGCCCCGCCCCCGACCTGACTTGTCCCCCCCCCCCCACCCTGACTCGCCCCCGTCCTCTGCCCTGGCTCACTGGCCCCTGCCCTGACTCGCCCCACCTCCGCCCCGGACTCCCCCACCCCTCGCCCTGACTCGCCCCGCCCCCGCCCCCGACTTGCCCCTCCCCCCCGCCCTGACTAACTCGGCTTCCCGCCCTGACTGGCCCCGCCCCCGACCTGACTTGCCCCGCTCCCCCCCCCCCCTCCCCCCATCCTGACTCGCTCCGTCCTCTGCCCTGGCCCACCGGCCCCCTACCCTGAGTCGCCCCTACCCAGCCCTGACCCACCTGCTCCCCGCCCCGACTCGGCCCGCCTCCCCGCCCTGACTCACCGGCCCCCTGCCCTGACTCACCTCACCCCCCGCCCTGGCCCGCCTGCCTCCGCCCTGACTCGCCCGCCCCTGCCCTGACTCGCCCTTACCCACTCCCCGCCCTGACTCGCCCATCCCTGCCCTGACTCGCCCCTCACCCACTCCCCGCCCTGACTCGTCGCGTCCCCTGCCCTGACTCGCCTCACCCCCCGCCCTGGCCCGCCTGCCTCCGCCCTGACTCACCGGCCCCCTGCCCTGACTCGCCTCACCCCCCCGCCCTGACTCGCCCGCCCCTGCCCTGACTCGCCCTCACCCATCCCCGCCCTGACTCGCCCGGCTTCTGTCCTGACTCTCCCCCACCCACTCCCCGCCCTGACTCGCCCCGTCCTCTGCCGCAGATCAACCCGACGGAGGCGAGCGACGGCCGGATCATCGTGACGGCGTACTCGCCGCTGCACCGGCCGCTCGACTGCCCCGTCTCCTGCACCGACGGCGTCTACTCGGCCAAGTTCCAGCCGGACGAGGTCGGCGAGTGGAAGATCCATGTCACCTACGAGGGCCAGCACATCCAGGGCTCGCCCTTCAACTGCTTCGTCTATGATCCGCACGCCGTCAGGGTGAGCGGCGCGCGCTGCAGCGGGCGGGGGGAGAGGTGTGCTGGAGAGCTTTGGCGGGGGGGGGGGGGATCGGCAGCTCGAGCGACTCCCGAGTCCCTTGGGGTATGTCGCCAGATCTTGGTGCCATAAGATCTGTGCAGTTGCAGGCATGTTAGACAGGCTTCGGTTGGCTTGTTCGGTTTGTGGTTGGTTCGGACATTTTGACCTCTGGCGCACATTGCCCCAACTTTGACTGCAAAACAACGCGACTGCCTGCAGACTGACATGACCTCTTCCTAGATATCGATCCTTATTCCATCGGTACATTAACTCGACTTCGTCGTTTGCAAATCTGTTAACACATTGATCAGACCTGGAAGAAGCCATTCAGCATTTTACCATGCACAACCTCTACACGATACACGAGCATGCAAACAACAAGCAGCATTTCACACACCTCACCGACCCACCATTCACAGCACTTTCAGACAGGTAGAAGCTTGGCTTCCTAGGCTTCGATGGGTGTGGGGGGGGGGGGGGAGTGAGACTACGAAAGTAGCATTGCTTTAAATCTTTGTCAGACACACAGAAGGTTGTGTGAGGACTGAAGTAGTTGTTTCCGCCGCGTTCATCAGGAAACGAGGTACCTTGTTTGAAATAAACGGAGAAGTGTCGGTGTGCGCGCGCACGTGTTTTGGTTGGATTTTGTTTTCGTCCGCAATCTATTGTTTACACGAAATAGCGGATGAGTTGTCCAGACTTAAGCATGCGCGCTTTTGAGCCATTCGCGGCGAACCATTTGCAAACGCACTCACGTTCAGTTGTTGCCAGCGTATTGGCCTGACCTCTATAGTCACTTGACTTGACCCGTCCCCGCAGGTGGGCGAACTGGAGGGCACGGAGCCGGACCGGCCGTTCACGTTCATGGTGGACGCGCGGGACGCCGGCTGGGGGGAAGCCAGGACGGACATCGTGTGGGAGGCGCGCTCACTGCCGCACACGCTGACCGAGATCGAGAAGGACTTGTACCGCGTCACCGTCACGCCCCCCGACTACGGAAAGTACCGCGTTGTACATCTACTTCAACGGCATCGAGGTCAAAGGTGAGGCGCTGAGACAGCAGTCCAGCGGGACATGTTCTGTGAAAAGAACGGGGCTACTCATCGGGACGAGTGTGCATTTTTCGGGACCTGTGTCACGTTAAAACGGAATCCTTAGCGCTCGTGCACCTGCAGCTATGCGCGACTGAAGGTGACTGTCGTCTGATTCTCGTTGGCGACTCGCTGCGCCGACTCTCGTTTGAGGACGCTTGCGATCAGCTGCAAAAACAGCTGTCGCAAGCAAGCTGTGGAATACGTTCTCGCCAGAGGCAAGAACACATTGAAAGTATATTCGAAGAGATCCTTTTCTGAGGGTCCCGGTAGTGTGCGGTTAAGCTGCGCGTCTGGGAAACCAAAGGACAGAGCTCGGTTCCTGCAGAGTCTGTCCTTCTGGCCAAGACGAAATCCAGGCGACGCCATAAGTAGCCTCAACAGCTCAGTGTTTGACATAGCCCCTGTGAAAACGATCACTTTCTGGCTGCCTGGGATAAAAACTGCAAATAACCCCTGCTCACCATCGACCCTGCTCCCACGCAGGTAACCCATTCAAGCTGCGCGTGGACAAGAACGGCAAGCACTCCATCACCAAGCGGTCGATGAACTCGACGGTGAACGCCAGCCGCCTGAACGAGCTGAACAGCCGGCTGAAGGCGTCGCCGCCGCCGCGCGTCAAGAGCCCCGAGGAGGACATCCAGTGGATGCGCTCCACGCTGGAGGAGATGAAAAGTAAGCGAACGGCCGAGCAGGCAGGCACTAGCGGCCCGCTGAGGTGAGGTGTGCGGTCAGGTGCCGTAGCCGATGTTCGTGTCAGGGAGAGACAAATAGTTTCTCTCTCATCAGTGCGCCAACGTCTGGAAGAGAGAAGCTGCCTTGTCTTTTTCGGTGCCGTTCGTCGGTTTGGAAATGTACTGCAGTTTAGTGTCGGGATGTTGTGAGGGAATTGCAGCCTCTAATACTTTACATAGTGGACAAAGAGCTTCACGCATTGCTCCAGCGGGTCAGTCGCGTCTGGGCTACATCGTTTCGATAGCAGACGACATGTCACGGCTGGCCGCCAGAACAAAGTCGACGTGTATTTCGTCCGCACAAACGTATTTGCATCGTGAATGCAGAAAGCCTCAAAGAACATCTACAGTTAAGTGTGCTACAGTCTGCAGCAAGGTTTAAAATGGTGACCCTAAATTTCATCTAGGCCTTGTGACATTTGAACAAAACGACTTTTGGACTCGAACTCTGTTCCTTCTAAAACTACTATAGTCTCGACTCAACATAGAAATTAACTCTGTTAACCTCCAAGATCCCCGAAATATTAACGAATCATCTCGTAACACAATCGCTCCACTCGGTTCACACCACTGTCCCTCTAACCGGACCACTAACGCCCCTCTCCCTCTGTAGGTGGTCTGCATTATCAGGACGCTCCACAATCGCAGCCATACCCTATCGCGTCGAGCCCCACGCGCCGCCGGATGGCGGTACACACACGAGCCGGCTGGTGACGGAGCGGTACGGGCCGCGGGACGGCAGCCCGGCCGATCGGCGGCGCTCCCCCAAGCCGGGCGGCTTCACCACCAGGACGGAGCGGTACGTCACTGGCCCGCCGGCCGACGCTCGCGCTCTCCGACCATGGTCACCAGCAGCGTCACCACCCGCACAGACCGCTACGGCGTCGACCCGAGGTCGGCCAGCCCGCGGCCGCGATCCCCTCAGCCGGGCAGCTTCACCACCAGGACGGAGCGGTACTCTAACCCTGCCGCGGGCTGCCAGTCCCCCGCCTGTTGGGGACAAGCTATACGACAAGGACAGAGCGGTACTCTACCCTGCCGCGGGCCGCCAGTCCTCCACCTGTGGGGACAAGCTACACGACAAGGACAGAGCGGTACTCTACCCTGCCGCGGGCCGCCAGTCCTCCACCTGTGGGAACAAGCTACACGACAAGGACAGAGCGGTACGTCCCAGAGCCGCGCGGGCCCAGTCCAGCTCCGGTTGTCAGCAGCTTCACCACCAAAACCGAGCGGTATTCGTCCCTGCCGCGCGCCACCAGCCCGCGGGCGCCCTCGCCCCGCGGCGGCCGGCCGGAGCACGCGGCGCCGCGGCCCGCCAGCCCGCCGGCCATCACCACGTACACCACGCGCACGGAGCGGTACAGCTCCAGCCGGCGCAGCGTGTCGCCGCGGCCGGTCTCGCCACGCCCAGAGCCGCCGTCGCACACCACCACCGGGCAGCGGTACCTGAGCCCTCGGCAACGCTCGCCGTCGCCGCCCGCCGCCACGTACACGCGCCACGTGGAGCGGCACGTGGAGCGGCACGTGACGGAGCGGCGCAGCGACAGCCCGGAGAGCGGGGACGAGGCGCGCGGCCGGCCGACGCGGCGGTCCTCGCCGCCCGTCTACTCTAACACGACACAGTACCGGCCGGAGCGGCGCGAGATCACGCAGAGCGTGCTGAACCCGCGGCACAGCCGGAGCCCGGCCCCGGTGGTCGACGGGCCCGGACGGCCGCGCGTCACGCGGCGCGTGGTGGAGGAGACTGAGATTGACTACATCTACCCGCCCTCCACCGACTCTAGTCCTGACCGGCGACCGCTGCCGGGCCGCACCGCCGCCACTAGGCCGGCGCGCCCGGAGGAGCGAGATACGCCCGAGCGCCGCCCGCCGCTGGAGAAGTACACCACTACCACGACGTACCGGCCGCAGGAGCGGGACCGGCCGGACCAGCGGCGGACCCCCGAGCGTTACACGACGACGAAGACGTACCGGCCGTCGGGTCGCGACAGCCCGGACCAGCGGCGGACCCCCGAGCGCTACACCGACGACGAAGACGTACCGCCCACAGGAGCGGGACAGTCCCGACAGCAGGCCCACCCCGGAGCGCTACACGAGCGCGGTCACGAGAGAGTACCGGTCGCAGGATTGGCACAGCGTGGACCGCCGGGTGGCGCCGAACCCCACCGGCCCGACAGCCGCGACACACCCAGAGCGGCGGCCTCCGGCCGAAAGACACACCACCACCGTCACCAAGACGCACCGGCCGCACGACGCGACACGCCCGAGCGCTACACCAGCACTGTGACGAAGACGACGCGCACGCGCACCACCGAGGAACGTCCGACGCCCGATCGGCTGGCGGTGCCGGCCAGGCGACGCGACCCCGTTCGCCATCCCAGGGGCGCCTCGAGCCCGCTGCGCAGCGCGCCGGATCGAGTCCCGAGCCGCCCTTCCGCAAGACGGCCAAGGTGGTGCGCAACGGCGTGGCGCGGCCGGTCGACCCGCCCGACCAGCTGCTGGACGAGCGCATCCAAAACGTGACGGAGCGCTACTTCGCGCCGGGCGACGCGCTGCCGCCCAGCAGCCAGCTGCTGGGCGCGCGGCCCACCTCTCCGGCCGCCGACCCGAGCCAGGCGCTGCAGGTGCGCCCGCCGCCCGGCGACGAGAGCTACGACGAGCTGCGCCAGCTGTTCGAGCGCACCGTCAGCAGGGTGCGCCGCGACTCCAGCGAGCCCGAGCCGGGCCTGCGCGTGCTGCGCGAGACCAAGACGCTTGACGACGGCCGCGAGGTGACGCGCGAGGTGGAGGAGTTCACCGACGAGCGGCGTCACTCGCACGCGCGCGTCGAGCGCTACAAGGTCACCGAGCCCGGCTACGAGGCCACCAGCTTCCACTCGCTGAAGCGGACGGTCGTCAAAGGTACGGGCGGCGCGGCGGACGGCGGAGGCGACGCACGGCTGGTCGCACGGCTTCTAACCCGGCAGCGGCGCTGGCTCCTCGCTGAGGCTCGCATGCTTCCGGGCTTTGCTGGTGGAGCGGCTGGGTCGCGACATCGAGAGACCTAGCTAGACGGTGAAGGATTCCTGCTGTGGAGAGGTCGTCCACTGTGTGAGCACTCCACGCATGGTGCCGACGTGACTAACCGCCTTATAATGGCCTTCTGGGGGCGACCTGAATGGACTGTTCGACGAGCCGCGACGACATGACTGGACTCAATTGGTACACGCTGCTGGTCTTCCCCTTCTGGTGTTTGTGATGCGAGAGACGCGCCCTTGTTCCAGATCATCAGGTGATTCGGGCCGCTGACCACCAGGACAAGAGGCTGGCTATCGAACAAGTCACCAACAACACCCTGAACAACACCAGCATTGAGGGTTGGTGATGAGCTGTTTCTGCGTAAAATACGTTCTCGTCTCAGGAGTTACTATGTTGAATCCGAAGTCCTTCGATCTTTACGTGACCTCCTCGTGCCCGGAATCGAAATGCGTGGAAGATGTAGGATAAAAATCACACCCCTTTACGCTTGGTATTGTTCAGAGGACAATATCAAGCGTAAATATCAGGGAAAGCGTAAATATCGGGGCAAACGTTTGATAACACTGTTCCCATTTTTCACTGCACATTTGGCTCGATCACCGCTCCAGTTCCGTTTACACTGAAACAGGTCACTCGCGATGGCAATGTGTCGTTCGCTCTCCGTGCATGTCCACGTCTGTCTTTGAAACCTAATTCGCTTGCTCATGTGCGGGTGTGCACATGAAGTCTCTGCTACAATGTCGGCGTGTGCGCAGCTACGCTGCCTCGATGTGCTCTGTTGCGAGGCTGTGATAGGCATAGGCGGATCCTGGGGGGGGGGGGGGGGGCCCGGGGCCATGGCCCCCAAAAACTCTGAGAGTATGTTTTGGCCCCCCAAAACATTCCAAGAACTTCAAAAAGTTTCGTCTGCTTACTGTCTGTTTTGACTTTAACTTTGGCCCCATCTGACCAGTTGACTTGAAAGTAATATCTTAAGTTACGAGTTTTGTAAACATGCATACTGTATATAGAAGATTCAAAAGCATTTCGGTGCTTGAATGGTGTCCCTACTAGGTACTCGCGAGAGGCACCATGCACTGGACCTCGGATCCCACACCGGCCAGCTGGCGACAAACGGCTGCGCCCCCCCCCCCCTAAAAAAACAACTCCAGGCTAGATCCACCCCTGGTGATGGGCGCCCCTCTCTCTCTCTCTCCGGTTGCAGAGTGGAACAGCAGGGACATTCGCTCCCGGAGCCGCTCCGCCCTCGACGACCTGCCCTATGACCCGGACGCCCATATCAAGCACATCATCAAATCAGGTGAGGCGCGGCGCTTAGAGCGACCTTGGTGTGACCCTACCGTGCGGCGGCCGGTCGGTGCTCCGGCAGCCATATGTCGGAGGTGTGAAGCTGGAAGTGTGTGATTAAGTGGTTGCCAATTTGGATATGCCGTTGTCCCTGCCAGTATGCCTGTTCTTTGTCTCAATGGGCAGTTTTTCTCCGCTTACAAAAATGTCAGATATTTTTTTTTCGGATGTCAGAGATTTGGCCCTTATTATGCAAAAGCTTACAACTGCTCCAAAGACTACGTTCGTAAGCGTAGGTAATGTGAGAAATGGAATGCACCTCTAAGTCATACCAGAAGGCTTATCTGCGTCCCTTTCTATCGGCTGAAATGTCGCATTACTGCTCAAGCGTGGCCTGCATCTATATTCCATATGGACGTCACACGACCGATACTAACGGTGCGGTCTAAAACCGGAATCATCGCCATCATCGCCACATATATTCCATGACGCTGCCCCGCTGCCGCCGCCCGTCCTCTGACTGCACGATGTCACCTGATGCGCCGGCCACCCCGCCCGTCCCGCCACAGCACGGCCGGACTTCGACCCGTCGTCGGCAGAGAAGATCCACGTGCCGAGGGCGGACCGCGACACCCTGGACCGCTCCGGACTGGACCGGTCCACCATCGACCGGTCCACCATCGACCGGTCCACCGTCGATCGGTCCACCGTGGACCGGTCCACCGTCGAGCGGTCCGAGAAGGTCGAGAGATACACTGATTCGCTCACTCGTCTTGAAGAGCAGGTATTGGATTGCTGGAGTTTATTCGCCTGCTTGTGGACGTTCAGCATTGTCATCCCGCTGGCGAATGCAGCAATGATGTTAACAGTTGCGCCAGTGCAACTGGGACACACAGTGTTTCTGCGCCGCACTGCGTTACTCGTTGTATAATCAGAGTGGAAAGATCAGTTGAACCAATGGGGAAAGCTGTTTGCTTACGCGAAACGGAATTTTCTATCGGACCTGATCCGGTAGGACGATGCGGCGGGTGTGATAGACAAAAGCTCTCTATGTACAGGCATTGAAGAATGCCAGTTTGTCAAAACCGACGCACCGGGGTTGCCGGTGGTTAACGCGTCTGCGTTAACCACCCCGCGTCTGGGGAAGCGGCGGTAAGGGGTTAGATTTCCTGCGGCGCCCGCCCTTTCTGCCAGGGTGAGAGGCGGACGGCGTCATATAGCCTTAGCAGCTGGGTGCGTCGTAAAGCCCCAATGACACACACGCACACAAAATTGACGCGCTATCCAGGCTTTCCAACCTCCCGGGCACGGTATCTGCCGTCCGGTCATGCGCCAGAAGCAGGCCATCCACCGAAACCAGCTTACGTGGACCGCATCGTCATCCATATTCCTTGTGACGGGCTCGAGTACGTACTCAAGCTGTCATGATGCAGCTCAAGTACTCACAAGCCGGCCCGAGCACCCACCCGAGCTCAGATGTCCACTCGAGCCCGGGAGCGACACGTGATGCTGTGCAGTTGCGACGCTCTTGACCTGGGCCATGACGTACGTGCAGTGTTTATATTCACAATTGGTACAAGCTTACGCGTGGTGACTAGCATCGCAGGGCCTTATGTCAGCTTCCTTGTGATAAGTGCAGTCACAGTCTCGCGTTCTGTGCGTAACGTTTCCGTCTGCGGCGACAGGTGCAGTCCAGCTCGTCCTCGCGACTGCTGCAGTCCTCCTCGGACCGGCTGCTGCAGTCCTCCCCTGGCCGACTGCCCCACTCTTCCGACATCACCACCACGCACGGTGACGTCACGGTGCGCGGTGCCGGCCTGCGCACGACGCCCGTGTCGCGGCCGGCGGAGTTCACCGTCACGGCGCCGCGCGGCACGGCCAAGGCCGACCTCCAGGTCACCATACGAGGTCAGCGGGCCGCGCCGCACGGCGCAGATCGGGTCAGGCGACGGGGCGGCGCAGGCGACTTGTGGGTCGCCGCTCGCTGCGGTCCCGTCGCCTCCGATGGTTTGCTCGGAGCTCAGATGGTTTGCTCGTAGCTTAGATGGTTTGCTCGTAGCTCAGATGGTTTGCTCGTAGCTCAGATGGTTTGCTCGTAGCTCATATGGTTTGCTCGTGGCTCAGATGGTTTGCTCATAGCTTTACTACCGCATGTAACGGGCCCGCTGGAAAGTCATGAGGAGGAAAATTTCTTTTAAAATGTAAACAGTGCAGTTTGTGTAAAAACTGCATAGTGGGCATGCCAAGTCGCCACCAGAATTGTACTAGCTGAGTAGCGTGGTGTACTCCGTGCTGCTTCAGACGCCAGTGCCTGAAGATCTGCTGGCTCTGACGAGACATAACTGCCCTCGCAGAGAAGAAGCGTTTACGCTGTGCGCTCAGCAAACTGAGTTCTCTGAGTGCACTAAACAAATTAGAAAACTGGGAGACTGTCGTACGGAATACAAAGCTTTACATAATTACTGTTTAAAACGGCTACGCATTGACGCCATTAAGGGAGAAAATTCATATTGGGACGGGCCATGGAGACCGTATTTAGAAAGATATATCAAACTAAGAGGCGCGATATACGTTTTGTTCCTTTGCGACAGCAGACATGCGCCCACCTCTGCACCGCCTCCGGCCCTGACTCGTCGTTGTTCACAGACCCATCAGACCGTCGCGTCCCCTGCAGCATCAGCAAATCCGGCGACGACTTCCTCGTCAAGTACCTGCCCCAGGTGAGCTCGTGCGGACACACGGCATTGCAAACGTCAATGTTCGCAGGATGGGAATTACCCCTAACAGATTTCCTCCGTTGAGAAAGTGGACTACTGATTTTATAAAATGCGAGTTGAAGGGTAAAGTGTGCGAGATAAAAGCTCCAGAAACTAGGATTGTGGAGACCATTGTGACGACACTCAGATTAAGCCACGACGGTTGGAAATATATACTTGTACCATATCAAACTCAGTTATCTATCATCATCGAGTATACTAATAATCACTTAACATTCTAAATGTAGTGTTTATCCTTACCTCTGTCAACTCTGCCTACGTGAGCCGTTGCCATCGGAAGTCCTTTGGTATTACAACTCACCGCCTGGTGGCGCTGCTGATCTCTTGCATCACTTTTCTTATGTAAAGTAATGCCATCATGCTTATCGTTACGAGCATAGCTCTTTATGGCCACACCTTCTCAGTTATATGAAGAAACGAGACCAGGCCACTGCACGAGCGCGGGTGGTCATACATCACACCTCGCGTTGCATGGCCTCATGCTCACACGATTCTGTTCATCACCGGCGGCATGCAAGTCGCGTTAATGACACCCTAAAAGGCGCGAACCCAAGATTATCGCATATCAGCGGACCATGGCAGCCGCCTGAGTACCCCCTCCCCCTCCCCAGACGGTGGGGGACCACGAGATCGACATTCTGCTGCGCGGGGAGCCGATCCCCGGCTCGCCGCTGGGCAGCAGCGTCTACAACACGTCCCAGATCAGCGTGGCCAGCATCCCGGACGGCACGGTCGGCCGGCCCGTCCAGTTCGAGAGTGAGTGGTGGCTGGCAAAGACGGCCGAGGAGGTGGCCGAGCAGGCGGACGGGCAGCCCTGTATGCGTTTGCTGATCTTGTGCCCGAAGCCAAAGCCACTTCCTTGCGTGTTGATTTTCTTCGGCCGTTCGGAGAATATCGGTCGTGTCGGGTCGTAACTCCGAGTGCGCCCAAGTGAGCCTGAGTGAGTCGCATAGACATCTCCCGTGCTGTTGTCCTCGCGTTCCGCTGCAGCTGAGAGCGCGGCCGGTCCGTCCCAGTCCCCTGTGGCTGGCCAGACAGCCCCGGCGCCCGCACAGAGCGGCAAGCAAGCGACAGTCTCTCACGCCCCCCCCCCCCCCCTCCCCCCCCCCGTTCCCTCGCCGCGCAGTTGATGGTTCCAGAGCCGGCGCCGGTAACCTGGAGATCCTGGTGAACGGCGGTCACGTGACGTCCTACGTCAAGGACCTGGGCCAGCAGCGCTTCATGGCTTCGTTCGTGCCCCACCACGCCATGAAGCACATGATCGAGATGAAGTTTAACGACGAGGACGTGCCAGGTAAGCAGAAACTGTCGGGACTCGTCTGGACGTAGGGTGAGCTTACTGTGCATCTTACGAATGCTGGAGTGGTCTGGCTTGACATTGCTTCTCTCTTGGAGCCGAGGAACTAATGTCAGGGCTTTGAATTCGGTTGAGCTTGTTCAGACGGCTGACAGAATTCGTGATAGGTTTAGACCAACAAGACGCATCCGATGATAGCTGTTTTTGTTGTACAATATTTCCTAATAAACATTTTACTCTTTCGACCAGATAAGAGCAAAATAAAGGAATAATAAATAATGGACTTCATAAATATCGCTCGATCAACATGGGTTATGAAGACCACCTTCCTATGAAGTTGGTTTAGTGCCAGGCATCAGCACCCCGCTCCACGCTTTTTTGCATCTGATGCAAATCTGAAGTTTCGGAAGACAATGTCCGCAACAGAATAAAACTTGAGTGGCCTTTGCGGTTGGTCGCACGGCGTTCGTGCGCATGCACCGCTCGCTTAGGGGGGCTTTGCATGCAAGGCTGCCCTGCAGGGAACGGTGTGATAGCTTACTGATTTGTCCTGCCTGTAGACACTTTGTCCGTGATCGATAAGCTCTCAGCGGCTCGAGGAGTTAAATCTGAGACGCATCAGCTTTCCTTAATTATCTTTTCCATGTAGGTGTGTTACACTGCTAAATGTCCTGGCAGGTATTTTCAAAACATTGACGAATTCCCCTTTGATCGGACTGTTGATCACGGGTGCGAGCTTGTGTCTTGTGATTGGACGTGTCGTACGTCTGCACCTCGTGGTGCACCCCTACACCAAGCTGCGTTGCACTCTTGCCAGCTGCAGCTAAGACGGAGCAAGAAGCTCCGTTATGCTCTCGCTAGCTGTAGCTAGCTGTGCAACGGAGCCAGAAGCCGCATTACACCCTTGCTAGTTGCAGCTGGCTGTGACACGGAGCCAGAAGCTGCGTTACGCTCTTGCCAGCTTTAGCTGACTGTAATACGGAGCGTATGGCCATCGGGGCACCACAGTTGCATCAAACGCCACGAAAGTCTCCTGCTGTCAGGCGTCCTCGACAAAAAGCCTGAGTAAATGTAGATGGAAGCATAACTCACACCATGTAGTGTGCGACGTTCGCCAGCAGTCTGTGCGTTCATTGACCTTGGTTCTGCGACGCCAGCCGGTCGGTCCCAGCAGGCGCCGGCATGGAAGAGAGCGGCACTTAAGCCGAGTCCACTTCCCCGTGCAGAGACACAGCCATCGCATTGCGGGAAGGTGGTCTGAAAGTCACGTTGAGTTATGTTATAAGCGCCGTTATGTACTTGTCTGAGCTGAAGACAGTCTTAACTGCATGAGGCAATTATAATGAAAGATAATGCATGCGCTTGGTAGCTGCAATACTTCCACTTTGCTCGGGCCGTTGAACAAATTAGATCACCTTGACTCCGCTGTAATGAACCGGGTTTGTCCATCCCTTCTGCAATTAGGCACTAGACACTTTCTCGCGGTCTGGGGGACCGTAATGCCAGCTCTGCAGGGTAAGGTCGGCCTGGGAAGAGACCGTCAGCAATGGGGTTCATGTTCATAGCGACTTCGTTTCCAATGGCCACTAAGCATTTTGAGCACCAACTTACGCTGGAGTCGGAATTATGAACCGTGGTCTATTTTCCCATCAGCTTAATTCAACAGCCCTGAATGTTGTGCGTCGGATGTAAGGAATATCTCACAAACACGCTGTCAAATTGATCAGATTCGATAATTCGAAAATGCAGCAGGTAACGCGGCATACGCTGCGCGCCGTTTTATGCCGGGAAAACCAAGACTGCACATGACATGTTCGGCTGCGAAACTGGTTGAAATAAGGGCTAATTTACAACACCGGTTATTTTTTGGTTGCGCAGGCATGAGCGACCACATTTTGCATCTAATCATTACGTAAATCTCCATTGCGATGCAACATAGCGCGCACAGTTCCCACCTTGAGCCGAGGGCACCGCCCGACTGTGGGAAAAATTGCATGAAGCCCATGTTTCGTAGCATGATTACAGCAACGGTGGACTTTTGAATAACGCCTTTTAGCTTGGCTATTGTGTCAGTGTGAATGTACCAGCTAGCATCGCCGAAGCAGGAACGCTGTACAAGGAAGCCCGGTATCAACTGACAAGCTTCGAATGAATTTTACAAAATTTCCAGGAACTTGCATCTGACAAAAATTTGAAAAACGGAAATTCTCCATTGTGTATAGTCCTCCCTCTTTAAGGGCGTGGAAACTTATTGGGCTAGTTACCACGTGAACGCACTCAGACCTTCGATGAAGCCATCCGATGCCGTTCAGTTGTGCTGTGGCAGTTGCCACCACAGGCGGTTTATTGCCCTTTTCCGCCGCAGCCGCTGACCTCCGCCTCCGAGCCGCGCTTTCCCGGCTCGGCTGATGGCGCGCACCGGGACACCACATGCGTGTAGCGCTCCTTTCACGAGGCAATACACAAGCGGCGAGCGAGAGTGTTCACTTTTCTTAGCGCGCCGACTCATTGACTGAACGAAAACAAAACGCAAAGAATGTTCACCAGCTGGCGAAATTCAGCTTGGCGCTCAGTGAGCCAGATCCGGAATATCTGGAGCGGCACGGAGTGAAGTACGCATGCGTGTAACTTTGGAAACTACTGATCAGCATTGGCCAGACTTTCAGAAGCTCACAATGGGGGTCAATTGGCCAAATGATCGCCTGTTTTGCCTGGTTGTAAGATGTGTATATCAGTGAGATGCCTAACTATGACTTCAAGAATCGGAAATACAAAATAGCCGGATTAATCGAAAATTTTCTAAAGCGGCCTATGCACGTTTTCAAAAGTGCATATTTCAGCTCCCTGTTCACCTCGTTCCACATGGATATAACTGTCCTCAATATGGCTTATGACACGAATAACGACATGGTTTTAAGCAAGCAACATAGCCTTAACAGCGAGCAAACGACAGCACTCCTGTACGTCACGAGCAGACAGCGGAGCAGCCTTGGGCGGCCCGGGTTGCGGTACACCGCAACTACTGCCAACACCGTCAGTTGACGCCGGGCCGCCGCTGCGGGCGGCGTGCCGTACCGCACGCGAGGCAAGGCGGGGCAGCGCGAGGCGCCGCCAATCGTCCGCGACTTTCACTGCCAGGCGGTTCGTCGGGTCACGCCGGCGAGGGCTGCGCGGCGCGGGCGGCGGCCGCTGACGCAAGAGCGTGCCGTCCGGTGGCGCCGCCGCCCTGCCGCCTCTCCGCGGCGGCTTGTCGCCGCCCGTCGGCCAGCTGCTCAGTCGGGGTCTCGCGCCGGAGCATGGCCGCGCCCCGTGCAATTATCACGGCCCGGCGTATGGTAATGCGGCCTTGTTGGCGGCCCTGCCGGGCGGCGCGGGCCGGGTGCGGGTGGAGCGGGTGACCCCGGCTGTCGCTGGCTGTCTGGTTCGACCCGCTGATGGCTCCGCCCTCTTGTGGGAGTGAGAGGGGCGCGAGACCGCGCGCCTGCCGCTGGCTGCTCTCTGGACGGACTCGGTGATGACTCCATCTTCCCGCACAGCGAGGGGTATACACCGGCCGCCGCTGGCTGTTCGCCAGGCTGATCGGGTGAAAAATCCCCGCGCGGGAACGGCTGCCGTGACACCTTGGCCTCCCCGTCGGGTGGAGTGGGAGGGTCAGTGGAGGGGGCAGAGGAGACCTCGCCTGCCGCCAGCTGTGTGGGTTGACCCGATGGCTCCCACCCCACCTCAGCTGCTGCTGGCTGTCTGGGATGACCCGGTGGCGCCTCCACCTTCCCTGCGTGCGTGGGCGGCGGGCATCACACAGTCTTTGTTCCGGAAACAATGGTCTGCTTCCTCACGGGGACGAGGACTGTGGCTCTGACCTGGCCTCGCTGGCTGACCGAGTCTGGTGAGGGTCGGCTTGGTCTGGTTTGGCCTGGTCTGGCCTGATAGAATCTGATCTGATTTGAACCGGTCCGGTCAAGTCCATGATCGCCTTATCCGGCTTGGTCTAACATGGTTCGTGGTGATCGAACTGGGTCTCGAAGACGAAATGGCCCGGCACGTGACACCCAACCTTGAGGTGTTTACTTCACGACTTGAGCAATATCCGGTTTGCCTCTATCTGACCTGCAATGAGTGGTCTGGGATCATATAAGTATGTGAACTGCAATAACGCCAGAAGCCAGGCCATGAAAGTAAGTAATATCAACGATGTCCACGTATACAAAGCTGGGTACCTTTATTGCTGACTTTATCCCGACTCCTTGTCGTTCGATATATCTAACCCCTTAACCACAGCTCACCGGCACCGCCGTAGGCGCTGAATGACAGCTGCTTGAGTCACAAGACAAAGTGCCTTCGACAAGTGTTAGTCGTCGGCACCATCATCTCGCCTGGATCATTACCTTGAGCGCTGAGTGGGAAGCAATCAAGTTCCAAAGACCTGGCCCGGGCTGGCTTGATCAGTTCATCATCATGGCACGTGAATACCACGCCGGTTAACTGCCAAGAAAACGCTTCCACTCCCGTGCCACCACATGGGCGCGGGATTGAGCACGGTCTGCTCCCAGTTTTTCTTCTATAACACAAGCATTAGACCCATGGTGGCTGCTGGTTAACATGGCAAGAATAAGTCCAAAACAGCGCCCGGCGTCCGTGGCAGCGGACTGGTTTTGGCTCCGTTGGCTCAGCACCGTGACAGATCCGGCCCCCACGGCGGCGGCGGCTCCTGAGTCACACGTCAGTCGGTGTTCCCCGACACATTCCGCGAACGGCGGCCGGCCGGCCGGCCGGCCCGTCCGCCCGAGCCGGCCGACGGCGGCCCGCGCCCGGCCACGGTCGCGGGTGGGTGCCGAGTCACGACCGGCGCCGCATCTCTCCTCGAGGACGCCCGGCCGGCCGGGCCTCAGGGGCGTGACCCCCACCCCGCCGGCGGCCGGCCGCCGCCCGCTCCGGACCGAGCCGGGGGGCGGCCGGAGGGGCCTGGGGAGGCTGGCCCCGGTCGGCTGGCGGGTCAACACCGCCGTCGGACGCCGGGTCGGCGCGGCGCACC